CCTCCGCCCTCGCCTCAGCCTCCTCCTCCTCCTCCTCCTCCTCCTCCTCCTCCTCCTCATCCTCCTACTCCTCCTTCTCCACCTCCCGCCCGGGAACATGCGGTTTCGCCATCGGGGGGCCTGTCGCTGATCTACAGTGGAGGCCCATGCCAAGAAGCAACCTGCTTGCCTCCAGGATGCCCTGGGTCTCTTGGGTTTCGATGGTTCTGCGATGGGAAGCGTGACGTTCCCACACCAAGAATGGGTGGACGTCCCAGGTTTCCAGGGTCGGGTTTCTTATGGAAGGTTTCTCGTGGTCGAGCCCCTACAGTGTCGGCGGCTATGTATCGCCGATTCCAGTTCGATGCTTTCCCCCTGAGCTAGTCCCCCCCCCCTATCGTTGCATTTCAGCAGCTGGCGTTGCCAGTTGCCAGTTGCCAGCGTTTTCTTTTGCCACGCAAAGCGGCATGAAGCTCGAGCTTCGCCCAATTCGCGCCACCCATCTGGGGAGAAGGCGGAGCCCGCGTGGGCATGAGACACGACGAGGCGGTGGAGAGGGGCGAGAAGGAGGCCTGCTCTATCGCGGGCTGCCCCCTGCGATGGAAGACCCGATTCGCATAGCCCTCGCCTTGTTTCCGGGCCTCCCACGTCGGTTCGTTCGGTCGCCAACTGGGGGCGCCTTTTGGGTCCCCTCGTGATGCAGTCTTTGGGGTGCACTGGCGTCGGCCAACCTCGGGCAGTCGATGAGATGCAGCCGACTTAGCGCCGACTCGGCGTCGATCAGAGTCGATTCAGCGTCGAATCGCAAGAGCCAACAAGCTGGCACAGTCAATCAGGATGAGCAGCTTCCCAGGGTCACCCTGGCCTTAAGTCGGGCCTGTCCCTCTACAGGAGGAATCTTCAGCAATAGTCAAACAATAGTTTGGGGACGATGTTTTGACCATTTTGAGGTATTTTAGGGTTTTTTTTGACTATGTTGCATTTTTCGCCCAAAATCCCCCTGTAGGGGGACAGGCCCGACTTAACCCTGGCCTCCTCCCCCTTCGGCCCACATCCTTGGCCTCTCTCGCCGGCCGCGCCCCGCTCGTAGAGAGTGCTGGCACGGCCTTCCAAGGCCCTTGCATCTTCGTCGTGCGCCCTAGCCACGAGGAGGAGGAGGAGAAGGAGGACGACGAGGACGAGGAGGAAGAGGAGGAGAAAGAGGACGAGGAGGAGGAGGAGGAGGAGAAAGAGGAGGAGGAGCAGGAGGAGGAGGAGGAGGAGGAGGAGGAGGACGAGGACGAGGAGGACGAGGTGGAGCGGGCAACCGATCCGCAACGGGCCTCGCATTTCTGGGCGCTTTGAAGCGGCTGGCCCAGCTAAAGGTGAGGAGGAGGAGGAGGACGAGGAGGAGGAGGAGGAGGCCTTCCAAGGCCCGGCGAGGCCGACGCCGCCGGATTGGACCCCTGCCGACTCGATGCCCTCGAGGCTGCCGTGCCTCCTAGCGCCAGATTGGATGGGGGTGGGGCGCTTTCGGCTCTTTGCCCTGACCGCTGGCCCTCTTCTCCTCCTCCCGCCCCTGCCTTCCTCCCTGGTTTCCGCTCCACAGAAGGATTCTTGTTGGAATCCTCCACAGCAGGATTCGTATGGAAATCCTCCACGGGAATTGGAATCCTCCACAGAAGGAGTCCGACTGAAACCCTCAACATCAGGATTCTTGTTGGAATCCTCTACAGAGGGATTCCGATTGAATCCTTTACATAAGGATTCATATTGAACTCCTCCACAGAAGAATTCCGATTGAATTCCTCGACAGAAGGATTCTTATGAAACCCTCCACAGCAGGATTCCTTTTGGAATCCTCCACAGCAGGATTTCTATTGAAATCATCCACAGGAGTTGAAACCCTACACAGCAGGATTTCTTTTGAAATCCTCGGCAGAAAGGTTCCTGTTGAAATCCTCTACAGAAGAGTTCCTATTGAGACCCTCCACAGCAGGATTCCTATTGATAGCCTCGACAGAAGGGTTCCTGTTGAAATCCTCTACAGAAGGATTCCGACTGAAACCCTTCACAGCAGGATTCTTCTAGGAGTCCCTTACAGAAGGATTCCGATCGAAATCCTCCACAGAAGGAGTCCTATTTTCATCGATTACATAAGGAATCCGATTGAACTCCTGCACAGAAGGATTCCTATTGAAATCCCCGACAGAAGGCTTCCTATTTAAATCCTCTACAGAAGGATTCCTAGTGCAATCCTCCACTGCAGGATGTCTATCGAAATCATCCGCAGGAATTGGAACCCTCCACAGCAGGGTTCTTTTTGAAATCCTCGACAAAAGGGTCCTTTTGAAACCCTCTACAGCAGGATTCCAATTTATAGCCTCTACAAAAGGATTCCGACTGAAATCTTCTACAGAGAGAGTCCGACTGAAACCACCCACAGCAGGATTCCAATTGGAATCCTCTACAGAAGGATTCTTATGGAAACCTTTACATAAGGATTCTTATTGAACTCCTCCACAGAAGAATTCCGATTGAAGTCCTCGACAGAAGGATTCCTATTGTAATCCTCCACAAAAAGATTCCTATTATACTCATCCGCAGCAGGATTTC